ATGGCAGTAGTTTTGGGTTCCTGTATCGATCCAAGCAAATGGCACAAGTTAGCAGTTGTTCAAATTGTTCCATTGTTCAATCTGAAAAATAAAAAGTAACGATCTATAGTTATTTTTGCTGAAATATAAATTCAATCAAATCAATACATTTCTACTAGTTATAGATGGGAAAATTATCACAATTTGAATTTCGAATAGAATACACATTGAGCAGTTCATTTTACATCTCATATATAAAATTATCGTGTCACAGTGTTAGTTGGCCATACTTTTTGAAAACATTTCCATTTTTATGAAATTTTATATGTATACTAGATGTTTCCCGCGGCTTCGCCCGCGTAAAATTTTTTTATTTACCTAAAACTTCAGGTTTCCAAATTCAAAACTGACCAAGTTCAGTACAATCTTTAAAGCCGTATTTTTCCCCCTTGGGGGTGGAAATTCCCGATTCTCTTTCTTGGGGCTTATTTACGCTATACAAATAACCTACCTGCATATTTCAATATTCTAGGTTCAGTAGCTTCGGCTGTACGTTAAATATAAGTGTGTCAGACAATCAATAGGTAGCCACTTATACAATATTGATGAGCATCAGCAAAAAAACTGAAACGATTAGAATGAAATACATTGGTAATTCTACCAATCCTACTCCATCTAATATTACAAGACTAATGTGCTGTCGTCAGCAAAGCAATATATTGGATTTTTGGTTTTTCCAATAAGTCGTTGATACACAATAAAAAGAGGGTTGGAGACAATATGGAACATCATCAGGAACACTCCTTTCTCATAAGACAAGTTGAAAGGAGTGCAAAATACTGTAGTCTAATCAACAAGTTCAGAAACATGAAAAATAGTGATAAAGGTCCTAAAAATATGAGCGATAACTCATTCGATTCGGAATCACCTCTAGAAAATTGTTTTTGAAGGATTTTGGTGCAGGTAAAAATTGCATTTGTTATTAACAAAACAATATTAAAAGAAATGGTATTTAGTTTTTCGTTAATAACTCAAAAAATAATAATATTTAATCAATTTTGAAAAAAGCTCGTT